TAAGCTTCATGAAAGAAACTCCTGCAGAGCAGATCTAAACTATTTTTAGGCTGACATTTCAAAAAATGCTAAATTGTCAAGATGTTTCCTGAATACATGCTGTGATCTTTCATTTTCTTTAGCGATCATTGTATTCACTTACCAATTAATACAAAAATATGAAAAAGATCTATAAATACTTATAGAATTGTACATGCAAAATAATGTCCCTCTTATAAGAAAAGGGAAATAACATTCATTTTCAGTACTGCTGTTTAGCACCAGATTGTTTCCAGTTAGAAAAACAAATGTCTTTATGATTTAAAGTTTCAATAAGAACTCATGAATAGGCAAAAAAATTCTATTTATTTAGTCTTGAAAGAACTCTGAAAGAAAAAGGCAGGAAATGTAGAAAGTATGGAAGAACTCCCCTGTGCAGCTGGCCACGTGTGGCTTTAGCAGCTGCAGGGGAAACTGTCTGGGCCTAAGTTTACATATTCCTGTTCAGTAAGGGTACCCATGGTGGTAACTCTCATGATGACGGTAGTCATCCTGGTAGCCATCCTGGTATCCTTGGTGGTAATTATGGTAACCATAGCCTGCATACTCATCTTCCGGGCAGCGCATGCCCAGTGACTGCTGAATGGCCATTTCCTGTCTCCGAAGTTGCATCGAATCAATCAAATCATACACAATCACCATGGACCACATTGGCGAAGGATACCAGGATTTGACATTTCCATCTTTTCCAACCAGAAGCATGGAGAAGTACTCTGGGCTCACTTGAAAATAGTTACGTATATCTTTCACCAAGTGGGCTGGTATGTCTTCTCTCTCAACAATAGAGCTCCCTAGATAAAAATGAAATAAGTGTTAGTGGGTTAAAGTTAGTGTCCATTAAAAAGTGAGAGAAATCACTAAGAGTGAGAGGTCCTGTGAAACTTCTCTTTACCTCAAAATCCAATTAAAGTTCAGTGGGGTTTTTGTTGTTGATTTTGGGTTTTTCACTAGAAATTGAATGTCCCTGCTCTTCTACAACATTATTAGTGTAAAACTTAGAGGCACATGAAATTTCTTGTAGGAGTGTTACAAAATATAAAACCAGTCCTTTAATTTAGCCCTGGAAATATCTACTTTAAAATTCGTCAGTAACAGGATAATTGTTTATATTCCTAACTTTATTTCCAATTAGCTTAGTTACTTCTTTGCAATTACAGTTTCCCCTTTGACACTTGTCTTCCAAACAAAAAGCTCATTTCATTGTCAAAGGTGAAAACTACCAGTTATGTTAAGATCTGGATGAATGTATTGAAACTAACAAGTAGAAAGAGGAGAAAAGGAACTGGTATTTTCTGAGGAACTCATCTGTGCTTGGCACTGTGCGGTACATTAAACACATCATCTCATTTAAAGACCTGAGTGTAAGAAAAAAGAACTGGATTTGGTTTCTGAAACCTTCAGTCAGGTATTTTATTTCAGCTTTGCTTAACCTTTTACTGTATTTCCTTATCTGTTGAAAGAGAATCATTGAAATATGACTTATGTGCCTGGTAAAACTATTATGAAAACTAAATGAGATAGGAAAAAATGCTTTGTAAACCATAAATCCTTCTACAGACAAAAAAATGCCTTATTTTAGTTGAGAGAACAGATATTTTTACTGTTACTCTGATTTTATATTAAAAACGTTCAGTCCTTTCACTCCACCCTATACACATCTGACATCCACACCTGCTGGCACACATATGGTGAGAAAAGTAGTCAATGACCTTCTTCCTCTTTGATTTGTACTCATTGCTTAATGTAATTTCAACTGAAATTAACACTAATTCATACTGTTTTAAAATAACAACATATTTACCATTGATCGGGAACAGTTCTAAAACTCCCCCAACTTCCTCTCTGATGCCCAGAAGCTTTAGGATAGTTATGTGACGCAAACCTGAGAGGAAAAAAAAAAATCACAGAGTTAGAAGAAAGGACTCTTAAGACATCTTTTACTTTCAAGTGATAATTGAAAATTCCTTTAAAAAAATGTGAGAACATAACCTAAGTAGAATAATCTATCTTTACATTTTTCCATGAAAAGACAAAATACTTTTAACACCTTGAAAAAGACCAACTGCAGATTTTAAGGCTAACAAAAATGGGATGGGGGATAGATTGAGATAGAGGAATGTGTTCTTAAACTGTCACTTTCACTATTAAATGACCAAAAAAAGGAAGACAAGACAAAGACGAAGGCGAAGATAAAGATGAAGGTGAAGTCACCACTGGAACATTAAAACAGCTGAGAAACTGACAAGGGTTCTGAAAGATGTCAGGCCTGAAGTTTTAACAGCTTTAACTCAGAAAAAATTGCTGTGGTAGCTGCTAAAGAACTATTTCTGCTGCTTACACAATAATTTGTTGGCTTAACCGGTACTTTCTTATCATTTATTTAGAGGATCCAAAGGGAAAACACAGACAAGCAGAGCTTGCTTTCACTACCTCAGCTAAAGTTTCAGGAAAAGAGGGAAGGTCATGACTAAGTAGCTTGTTGAAATTCTTTTGAAGATGGATTAAATGAAGGATTCAGGAAAAAGAAATAGGAAGACAAAGAGGCTGTCATCACATTAAGATTTCATGTTTTATGTATTTATGAAAATGTCACAAACATTTTGTTCAACTAATGTTGTGCTTATTATAATTTTAAATGTCTAGCTTTTAAAAATAAATTTAAAATTACAACAAAAATTTCATGGTTTTAAACAAGACCTCAGTCCAGTCAGTACAATAGCCTGGAAATAAAAATGTTTCTGATAGTATTTGTCATCTGGGGGGATTAAAAACTGCCATGGGACAGCTGTTTTATGTATTATTATTATTATTATTATTATTATTATTATTATTATTTTATTATTATGGGGGGGTTGAGACAGGGTCTCACTATGTAGTTCAGGCTAATCTGGAACTCATTACGTAGCCCAGGCTGGTCTAGAGATCCTCCTGCCTCAGCCTCCGGAGTGCTGGGATTACAGGTCAGCGCCACCACCCCTAGCAA